GATTTCCATTTAGATTTGCTGTGGAGGATGCTGAGGATGAATCCAAATGATTTTAGTGACCTCCTGACCTTTACTTTAGCACCACCAAAAGGACACATTTTCCATGGATACAATGAAAAGGTAGCCATGAACCCCAGAAACTGACCAACACTTCACCCAGTACAATAATTGAATGACCTTATGGCTTTTTCTCTCATGCCACTCCCTAGAACTTGGTTGCATTAGTACCATCATTGGCTCTAGTTTACAATCAGTAAGTCACTACGCATTATGTCTGACCATGTTAATTCCTCAATAAAGCATGTACTAGCACAGCATTAGCCACAACATTTGTGTGTTCTATAAAATGATTAGACTAATAAGGAAGAATAATTTGCTTCTACGGAGTCTTAAAAAAAAGAAAAAAGACAACAATGAAGTTTACAAATAAATTAGGGACATGCAACATACGCCTGCTTAATGGAGATAGTAGCAGTTTGCTCCATTTTGACATAGGAGCTAATGCAGGTCCTTTTTAAAACCACATTTGATTCCAAATTTAGTTGGTATTGTATATGATATAGATTCAATTTTGTATGTATTTTATGTTTTTGCTATGTATGTTTGATATTTGAAGTGAGATTCCTTTGAAATGCATCTAGGGGTTTCTTAATCTCACCTTGACAATTTGTTTCTTTTCTTTTCTTTGTGGTTCTGTTGTTTTATTTTATCATTCAAATACATAAATATAAAAGGAAAACTGTGGTGCATATACTGTGTGCACAAATCTGCGGTTAATACAATAACCACAGACTTTACAAACAGTGAACCTGGGCATTTTGGGGCCACTGAAGGTGTGACGCTATGACACAGGGGAATTATAGGCTGGTTAAAATCCAGGCAGTTGACACCAAAACCTTAACTTATGCAGGAGTGGCAAGGATGTGTCTCAGGTTTCCAGTTATTCCCAATTTATGCAATTCCAACACTGTTTATAGACCCCAGTCTGCAGAAATATTCACATACACTAGATGAAAATATATTTTATAAACACAAGCAACTCCATGGTTTTGCCCCCAAACTGCATGGGATTAGTATAAAGTGAGCATGTCTGCAAAGGGGAGACTCATTGATAAAACCTATTTTCATTCAGATATATTGAGTTCAGGGATCACTTTAAAAATGACTATGCCAGTTTTTTTTAACTTTGGAGCGTTGTTTAGTCTGCTTCTTGACAAACTATTGGTATAGTTTTGGAGATTAACTTCCATGAGCAAAATTGTTGGAAGAGGTTTTGACCTTACAGTGGAGTTAAAAGGCCAGAGGGGCAAAGAATCTTTAGTAATTGTTCTCTGGGGACAAAATATCCAAACCACATGTAAATTGTGTGTCTGGACTGACAAAGGGACAACTGACATGACTATCCACACTGATCCCTGGGCAACAGCTACATTGTTGAGACGCTAAGACCTTAGAATCCGATGCTTAGTATTAATGGAGCCTCATGTAATGCTGGTCTTGGCATTATTTTATTTTATCATTATCAGTATCTATTGAGGTTAGATGGTTGTAATTATGATTGTATTATTATTATTAGGGGTTTTCTGTGGTCCCAGCACTGGCAGCTGTTACTATGAGCCCTGTGCCATTACGTCTGTGCTATAGTGGGGTGAAGAGGCCATCAACACCACGTGGAAGTGATTTTCAACAAGACCTGCTTTCACCTTCCTGGCCTTCTCTGATCCTGCTCTATAATTGTTGGAAAGGAGGTGGGAGGACTTTTCCTCCCTCGCTGGAGGAAGCCTGGGGGGGGAACAGCCGGTCCCCGTCGGCTCTGTATCTGTCAGTTTACTGTGCGTCCATCCTGCCACCCTCCAACTCACCCTGCCGGTCGGAAACCATAAACGTGTCAGTGGCCCAGAGCAGCATCTACTGTGTGAAGCACCACCTTATCCCCTCCATGCCCTCTGCCAGCCCTTCCTAAATCATTCAGTTAGGACAGTAGCAGTGAATGACATTTCCCCTAGGCCCAGAGGACACAGAGGTAAAGCCAAGGCCAGGGCTGCTCATGCAGTGTGTGTGGGGAACATGTAGAATATATTGTGTAATTCCTCATATATAAATTCAATCACAACAATAGTTTTGGAGTGTCCAGAAATGTCCAGTTCAACAATGGTGCGTTCATACATACTGTACACATACATACAAGAGGCTGGCTATCTCTCCCAAACCTGAATCTTCTGGGCTAGGGTTGAGTAGGTACTCGGCAGAAAGTATCCAGTACAGAGTACAAAATGAGTAGAATGTGCTGATGTCTGTACTTGTAAATATAGCAACTTTAATAAAAAAAAGCCTGTTCTATAAATTGTTTTCTTTCTCTTAACCCACAACAATTTTAGGCTTAAATCAACAGCTTCCAGTTAGCCACACCCACTTAAAATGTAAGCAACACCAACACCTACTAGTCCGTTCAACTACGGATACAAATGCAAATAATTTAGTTGGTTCAACAGATACTCGCTCATCCCTATTCTGGGTGTATGTGCCAAGCACAGACTTTACATACTTAGCACTGATTGGCTGATCACATTGCCATTATCCTGGTAAATGACAAGGTAGTCATAAAAATCAAAACAGTTGATCAACTTTTCTTCTATTTAGTTCAAAACACTATTGGTGCTGGTCACTTTAGTTGTTCCTCCTGTTCATAGAGGAGGCCCTAAGGCATCCCTACTTAAAGCTGCAGTAGGTCATTTTTATAAAATAAATGATGTTATTATTGCTGAAACTTTCAGTATATCCTGACAGTAGTACATGAGACAGATATTCTGTCAAAAAAATCAGGCTCCTCTTGCTTCTCCTACTTCTCCTAATTTGCAAGAATCCTGAATGAAAACAACCAATCAGAACCAAGAAAGATGGGTTGCTGGCTTGAAGATAGTTGATTGTTGAGTCTCATTCCCAGGGGTCTGTGTTTGATGACCTGGGAATGGGACTCAACAATCAACTATTAGTCTAGTATCTTTTTTATTTCTGGTCCGTTCTTTCAGAAGCATTAGTCCTACCAGTGTATGGTAGCAATGCTCTTTATTCCCTACTGTCTCAGTACTGTAGTTAAGGTCTGTAACGTTGCCAGCAGCCTGAGGACAAGAGGTCATGGAGCAGAAGTAAAGTTCCCTTTGCCACAAGCTGGACAAGCCTTATGTCACGTACACCATCCCCTGCCATCTCAACCTGCCCAGCTGTGTGTGTGTGTGTGTCCCTGGCTACTCAGGGAGTTGATGACAGACTGATGAGTTCCCGGCTACAAGAGAAACGGTAAGCAACAGGCCGTCCGCCCAGCTCTCCTCCTTCCCCTGGACCAGCAGCTTTCTTCCTGCATGACACACTAAACAAGCCAACACACACATACACACACATACACACACACACACACATACACAAATACACACACAATTTGTTTACATTTCCTCTCT